GGGGGGGGGGGGGGGGGGGGGGGGGGGGGGGTTTACAATAAATCACTTGTTTTGACAATGCATGCAAGTGAGCTGCACTTTTAGTTTTATGTTACTAGGGCACCAATAAATATTACCAGTAAATAATAAACCCCCATATGTGTTCTTACAGTAGGTCTCCTGTGTTTGCTGAGCAGTGTGCTGCCAAGATCATGCACTGGTGTTGAAACCTGGAAGCTTCTTGGAGATCTCATATTGTTTATTCACTCAAGTGATCAATTCAATTCAATTTTAGTTGTGTAGACCTTTTAATAAATTAAAAATAATAAATCTAATAAATTAGGGAATAATTCATTTACCCACATTGTGCTACTTATGAAGTGAAGTGAAGTGACTTGTGGCCAAGTGTGATGACCCATACTCTGAATTTGTGCTCTGCATTTTACCCATCCAAGCGCACACACACACCCAGAGCAGTGGGCAGCCTTTTTTTTTAGCTGCAGCACCCAGGGAGCAGTTGGGGGTTCGGTGCCTTGCTCAAGGGTCTCACCTCAGTCGTGGTATTGAGGGAGGAAGAGAGCGCTGGTCAAAAACCACACCTACTATCCCTGCCAGACCCGAGACTCGAACCCACGACCTCCGGGTTACAAGTCCGACTCGCTAACCTTTAGGCCACGACTGCCCCCCAATATTTATGAAGACTCCATATCTACTTTCCCGTACTGTACTGGTTTTGTTGCTGCATTACTGATATAATAAATCTAATCTAAAGACAATGCTAGGCTAGTTAGTTAGCTGTCACATGAGCCATTTTTCCCCCCATCATCATATCAACACAAGCTCTCTGGACAGTGAATTTCTGTATATATAGAATATAATATCTAATATATATAATGTGTGTGTATAATAGTGATGTTCTTACTTCAGTGTCTCCAGTGTACAGTGTGGATTCTCCAGTCCAGCAGAGAGCAGCTTCACTCCTGAATCCTGCAGGTTATTCTCACTCAGGTTCAGTTCTCTCAGACTGGAGGAGTTTGAGCTGAGAACTGAGGACAGAGCTCTACAGCTTTCCTCTGTCAGATTACACCCACGTAGACTGGAAGAGAAATGACATTGAGAAAGTAAGATATTGTTTAAAACTGTTTCTTTGACAGTAAAACCTTAAATGCAACAGTCAAATTTTCTGTCATTATTGCTAATAATAGCTAGCTATTAACTACTGATACTTGGTTTCACAGTAGCTAGCACATTTAAGCTATAGTAACTGTAACATGTGGGGTGTGGTTTATCAAGAGTCTACACTGTTTGTTTTCTCTCTC